GCGACGTGGGTACAGACGACGAGGTTCGCCGATGCTGCCGTTCTGGAACTGGATCGATACAGTGAAGGCACGATCACGTTGTGAGGTGCGGTGTCGTCGCCGTCGGCAGATGCCCTCAGCAGATTGTGCACGGCTGACTGCCTGACAGGACGAGGCCACGGAGATGAGAAGCTGGAACCTGTCATCCAGCCGTACTTGCGAAACAGATCTTGCAAGATCACAATAACTGTGTCATGAGGCACAGGAGGTCGACCAATTCCTGCAGCAGAATCAAGTGAACAGAAGGGACATATGAATCGACTCACCGGACTTGGCGCTGGTGGCGGGTACAGGTTTTTTTTCATAGGGGGGCGTTTCCCCTGTTCTACTCCCCACCCCACTCCCCCTCGACCTATCCACCGCCCTCCGTCCTATTGCCCTTTTCATTTTTCGTCTGGGGTAAAAACGTGGATATCTACTGCATTTCACAGTCTCTAATAAAAATTAATGTAGGTGCTATAAAATTTTCGTAAATAGAATGGGAACATAGCCATAGGTGAGGCAGTCGCCCCCCCCCCCCTCCCCCCCCCTAGCTCCCCTCCCGGATCCGCCACTTCTTAGAGCTCATTGAACATGTTCGGGACCTGCTGAGCAGCCATGTCGACCACCGCGCACAATCTCTTCAGACTCTTCAACAACTTGAGACCGCTCTGCAGGAATGGGCCATGAGACAACAAAGACCGATCCAGAGGATCGTCAGCAGCATGAGGAAGAGCTGTCAAGCATGGGGTGGTTATACTAGAGACCCCAAAATTTGGAATAAAAAAATTTCGGCGAGCTTCATTGTAGTATTTCTCGTATTCGAACTTCAGTTGCAGGATGATGCCACACTGACCATAATCTGTTTCAAGGAAATTTGATTCTGGAAAGTCAACTGAGCTGCTAAAATTCCAGTGGGTAATTCCTTCCTTCATATAGAAAAGTAAAATTCATAATATTCAAAGCGATTTCCAATAAAAGTTTCAGGAACCTGAACCGACAACGGTGAATCTTATCACCAAATCCATTCAATTCACCCCAATTTCGGACGGTCGCTTTGGATTTGACGCTTGGAAGAAATGCAGATGGATTCACTGCCTCAATGTGTTCAAACTCGTTTCGGGTCTCTCAGCTTTTCCAGGCCTGTTTAATATCCCGACTGGAAATTTCCAGCTGGGAAACAGCTGGAAGGTAAAGTCAGATCCAGATTGGTCAATCTTTAGTCCAGCTGGAAATTTCCAGTCGGGATTTTAAACCGGGCAATTAGGCATTCTTCAATCGCATAGGGGCCAATGTCCCTTACAATCATTTAACCTTTTGTGACGAAGTGGTTTCATGAGGAAACCATCCTCTTCTTATTTTTTTTTCCCTCGGCTTTCGTTGGAAATCGTTTAAAATGTCCTCTACCTTTGGATTACTCGAGAGCACAACAGAAACTCTTCCACTTGAGTAGACAAAGCGAGAGATGTGACAGGTGGCAGGAAAGTTAGATGAGAAGCCATAAAAGGCAAGGAAATTTTTTGGAGTCTGGCGCCTCTTTCAGGATATCTGGTGTGTTTTTTTTTTTTACATTTCTGTTCTGTAGCACTAAAACTGATCCACATCGCATCAAATGGATGTGCTCTGAATGTAAGGTTGGTATCTGCACATCATCTCTTAAAAACTGCTTTAACCTGTACCATCACAAATGAATGTGAAGCAATCTTCATACCATGAAGATTGCCAACAGTAAACACCCTATATTCAGTACTAGAAAATTGAAGAACTTTTTTTTGCACCATAGTTCTTCTATTTAGCCCCTATCACAATTTTCACCGCTTTCCAATAAAGATGGAAAAATTTGTGTCTCAAAGGGTTAAAGCTGCGCTCATGAAATACCAGCCATTAGGCTTATCTATAGTATTAGTCAAACGTCTGGAATCAAAGGTATGTTTGCTTATTATAATAATTATTTGCTTATCCTTAGAATTATTATTTATTTCTATTGGCAGTGATAATGGAACTGAGAAAGGACGAGTGGTTACGCCGGTTGGAAGTATGAACCATAAGGAATGGCGGCCACATAGAGCACCTTCAACATTCCCCATTCATTCCAGAAATTTGACTCACTGCAGTGCAGGCGTCTTGTGACTTTGTGGACACCCAGCGCATCTGGTTCCTCCCCTTACCCCCCCCCCCCTTCCTTCCTTTTTCTGTTGGCTTTTCATCCCGGCCCAGCGAAGGCGAGGGTTGCGCTTGTTCTTGGTATCGAAGGGAGAGCGTGTGGCTGCAGGAAAACTGGCGCCGTCCTTTTCCCCCGTTCCTCGGGCATTTTGCAAGTTTTCCCTCGATTGACTCATTATATGACCTTGAAACTTAGCTCGATTGCTCTGCAAATCTCCTGGAGTTCTGGCAAGTTTAATCAATCCTCTTAGGTGACCGATTTGGGCAATTTGAATGACCCCATAACCGCTATTGAAATCGGAGTGTTTGGCAAGTTTTCTCCGTGAATCTTCATCCCACACCCTCGAAACTCTAATATATTTCGTGGTACGAGCTTGCGTCCCAGAGTTTGTCAAAATCGCTCAACTCCTTCTTGGTCGTCCTTTTCTTTGACATTGAATACATTCTGAAAGCACCCAACACGCAGTGAGAATTGCGGCGAGAACTGCACGTCGTTCTTCTGCACGTGCAAGAGCGGACATACGATCAGATACATTCAGAGAATTCTCGTTAACGAACGCATCGCGTCAAGGAAACGCGCATGAAGGCTTTTCCCCGCGGGCCCTTTAGGAGGAAATCGGATCTAAAGTACTTAGTATGCCAGCGAACGCGCTCGGGCTCACGTCGCGACGAGATTTATAGACCTGGACAGAAGAACCACCTGCCAGCGGACGAACACTCAAAGAGCCCGTGTTAAAGGACTCTAGCATTCTCATTCTCTTTTTGGTATGACGATCCCAAGGAGCAAATACCATCGAGTCAAGAGTGATTCAATATTGATTTAACGTTTTGGTGTTGTTTCGATGCTGATTCCACGCCATGAGGTACTTGGAAATGTATGGAGTAGATGGATACACTACTGATTATTACTTTTAGCTTTTTACAAATAAGGGTCAGTAATAATTAAGATAGCAGCCTGCTGTGTACATTTTCTGAAAATTTTAATTTACGAGAGGGGTATCCGAAAGTAAAGGAACAAACGGCTAGAACTCTCTAAGCAGTTAACATAGGAATGTCCCCTTCGTTAGTGATGGTGTCTCTAGATAGTATTCCACCCTACTTGACAGGAATTCACGTATCCAGTGCTGCATGTCACTGGAATCACAGGTGCATCGACTAACAACAGGTTCTGAGAGTAATGTGGTGGCAACGGTTTTTGGGATTGGTGTTTCGCGATCGAAGTACAGATATGACTACGGTTACAAGTGCATCGTGAGAAAAAAATTTGAATTCCGCTTCATGAATCGATGCCTATTTTCACATAAAACGTGAACAGTGGCTCGCTGCTGCACCATGAGGCCAAAGGCCACAATCTGTTAATGAAACATGTACCCCATTCACTGCTCAGTCCGTACCTAGTGTCTTGCGACTTTCGTCTGCTTTGGCAGAGTCTTTCGAAGGCGGCGCTTCAACAATGACAGGGTGCAACAGGTAGTGTGTACTACTTTGGCATGCTATGCCCGAGTTATTTGCATATATTGTAGCTAGTACAACACTAAAAAAAGTGCACAGCAGTAACGAGATGTTACATACCAAAGTAACCATGCCCAAACTCATTTGCATGTATCTCACATATGACTAATCTACATAACACAATTACATCCCAAAGATGCCCCAGTTAGTTTGTAGAAACATCTCAAGGTCATAGAAATGTATAGGCGCAGGGACACCCCAAACTTGTTCCAGATACATGGAAAAGGTTCTATATATAAATTTTGGGGACATCTGAGTCAAAGAAGCATTGGGGTAAAGACATGCACAATGGGAAAAATTCCACCATGAGAAATATCACAAGGTTCAGAGACCCATCACTGAAGGGTATCCATGGAACGCATACAAAATGTGTGTAGGTTTTCATTACTTATCTAGTCAAGATTTCATCAGAAGATAGTCTGTGCTCAGATCTCCAACCAGAACAGAACCTAGATGTGCCAATTAAGCATTATTTCAGAAAATATTATCTAGTAAATTGTCATTAAAGCACACTAGAAGGGATGTCTTTAAGGCATCTAAAACCGCATGTGCCAGCACAGCACAAAAATCTCAGAAAATTTCTGATATGAATGAGTTGTCCCAGTATCATTATATAAGACATAGTAAAGCCATCTCACATTGAATGTTTCTCCCTGTTACATACTCCAGATGAGACGTCTTTAAATATCATGCTACTTTAGGCAGCATTGCGATGCTTCTTATGGTAAAATTAAATGGAAAATTTCATGTAAATTACACAAATACATAAATCACACCTCTCACTGTGGTTGATTTGGGGAGGGGGGTGGCCTTCTGTTCATTTTCATGATCAGGATGTGATAGCAGTGGTACTGAACAAGGAAGGGCTTGAACTATCATGATGGCTGATAAACCATCAATGCTTCTGACATCAATACATAACAACACTGGTCTTTACAGTGTTTCACGTGATGGCACTGAAACAAGCTTGGGCAAGTTTAGGATATTCTGGGATATCTCCAGGCTGTGCTGCCATATATGCTGTGGTATGACTTAAAGATATTTCTTCCTGGACATGGAGAAGTCTCACAGAGAAGTGTTGTGTGGAATAGAACATTTGTCTTTCATTTGTTTTCATGACACAGGGTGGTCATGCAGCCAGAAACTTCCAGAAGGGAAATGGAGAATCAATAGTTGTGCTTGGGGTTGAGATCATAAACAAGCAAGAAATGTATTCATTTCATCTTCAACAACATCTCTGAATGTAGATAAAATCACAGAAAGATCAAAGATCATTTGCTTATCATTCAAGCAAGTTTCATAGTTTTCTCTGGAGGTGTTTCTTCTGTCCTGTTCTTTCGCTTGCCCTGATTCCTCTCTCGTTTAGATCCAGTTGAATCTTCAGACTCACCTTTTGTTCTGGCATGTTGGAAACAAACAAAAAAAAAGCTCAGTAGAAGTCTTTGCCATGGGAAAAAACACAGCAAGACTCACGACATCTGGGCCCTGGATTTAGGCCCCCAGTTTGGCAAGGGATTCTTCTGGAAACGAAGGAGGCCTTGTTCTCGGCTGGCTGGATTTGCATCTTTCCTCACTGTGAAATCCACTTTGGCCTCAGGTTCTTTGGACAGTATCACCATTGCTGGGCTTCTAGTATCTAGATTCTCCCGCTTGCATGGATACTTCTTCTCCCATGTACGCATTACATCCCAGAGGAAAGTTTCTGGTGCATTAGTCTTGATGGAGTTCTTGCAAGCATGTGAGAGGGAGACCTCAAAACCTGCATTCATCAGGGCTGACCTGGACCAACAAACATGATACTATCAAGCAGCTTTAGAGCAGGTAACACTAATAAATAGGGCCATACCAATAGCAATCTTTGATTAGCTGATGACTAGCTATGATCTCACTTAGCCAGTGCTAGTGTCGATGGTTACAAATTGAGAGGGGGAGGGGAAATTATTATCCAATACTTTACTCTGTGTTTAAAACTTTTTTCACATCAGCTGATGAAGTTGATGACACTGAGTCTCCATAATAATTATATATATATATATATATATTTTTTTTTTACATTGAGGGAGGTTGGAAGCACATGAGTTTTATTGGATAACAAATACTAGTGTGAGAATATGTACTGTGTTATCATTTGGTGTAGTTGCCATGGCAGAAAATTGCTAAATCACAATTTTGTAAATTAATATTTTTTGCAGAAGGTATACAATAAAATTATCACAGCCAGAAATTGCAAACTCTAGATCCCAGGGCAATATATTCTCAGAAAAAAGGGAACTCTGCAGGATGTTCAGTGTCAAAATTCAACGTAGGTGTTGGCTGTCAGAAACAATCAGAACAGATATAAGCCTGCATCTACTTAAACATACAGTCTGCCAGCAGGCATGATGCCATCATTTGACCCAGGTCTCAGCCAAAGAAAGAATGAGAAAAAGAGAGAGAAATTTGACCATGACATGTTCTGCTTTTACTTTTTGAGCAGGAAGGCAGGAAGCACTCATTTTTGGAAAAAATGTGAGTCAGGTGCTGGGCTGTATTTACATACATACATGTATTCCTCTCTTCTTTTGCAGGAGGGAGGAGACTTTGCAGCTTGAAAACCTTCAGATGGCCAATGGTGCAAATGATGCCAAATTGGTGGTCAATTCTAGTAGTTGCTGATGTATTGATATAACCCTACTTGTGTATGATTAGGAAAAGCTAATTCACCTGAATTTCAAGAGGGGAGGGGGCTGGGTCCTCACAACAGAACTGAGTCTATCGATGAGGTAATAAAAGGGAGTATCTAATTCCTCCAGAATCATGCTAAGCACTCCATCCATACGCCGCTCGGTACCAAAATGCCTTTTTTCTCCTTCATTGATGAACTGCAAAAGCTCAGCCACAAACACCTTGTCATGTATGGCTTCTAGCCACATTGGTCCTCCCATCTTGAAATAAATAAACACAACAGCATTTTTAGAAGTACTTTGCAGAATGCCACTCCATACAGGACCAATGTTAAAAGGTGGCTTACAATCAGTTTATGGTTGCAGTGAGTACAGGTAGGGCCATTAGGTATGGCAGGTGAATTGGCAAAGACAGGAGTGGGGCCAGGTCTTTTCACTTGAGCCATGCGCTGACTCCACAATGTTTCACACCCACTGCATTGATACACCAAGCCTACCTTGCTGCATTAGGAAATAATTCAACAGGTACAGCCCCTGGGAAAGAATAAATAGAGAAGGATCTAAAAGAGTTTGACTTACCTTGCACTGTATTTGCACTGGGCTTGTGATGTATGGACTGTGACAAAGATGCGACAATAAAAATCTGCACTGAGGCTAAGCAATGGATGAATGTATCGTCCATATCGATTTGCATGGGACTCAAGGCTATGAAGAATAATCCTTAATGCCTGTAAATAAAATAATTTTATGCAGGCCTCCACCTTCTGAGTTCTTGTACAATAAGAATTCTTGGACTGACCATTTCATGACAAGACTTGGATTTGAGTGGCATGGCACCATAGGATGCAAAGCACTTCTCTGGGGTATTTCCACATAGAATAGCCATGTCAGTGGCAGTGATCATCAGTAATCCTCCATCTGCCAGACTCTGGACTGCTCCATCAAGAAACTGACTGGGGCTCCCATAGGGATCAAGGTCTATTACATCAAAACGATTCTCCTTTCTTCTGCTCTCATACATGAGGAGCCTTTGGGAAAGACATAATTCATGGTAGGGAGCATTATACCATGTAACAAGGAAATGAGGTTGCCAATGCTTACGTAGCATCCTTGCAGGAGGGTGTAACCAAGCTCTCCACATGATTATGCTTTATGTTCTTTGTGATACTCTCAACAGCTGAATGGGATAAGTCATTTGCAATGATCTCTGCAATACCTTCTACCTCTTTGGCAAAGCGAATTGACCTAAGGCCAGATGCTGCAAGAGCTTCAAGAATTCTTAGTCCTTTCTGTAAAAAACAGAAATTTCAATTTAAAATACCTTTTTATGCTGCTTCTTTAAAAGTATCAGAAAGCCAAGGACTACTACTATAGGCATACATTGTTGGGCTGTTCAGTTTCTTGCTTTTTGTGGCTGCAGTCATCTTTTGGGGACTTCTTATAGATATGCTGGTTAAAAACAGCCAGCACTGCAACACTGGAAAGAAATCCCAAAAATAATATTCATTAAATGCAATCTCAACATCAAGGACAAAGAGCAACAGGAAAGAACCTCATGTCTCGGTTGAACTCCTGCACAGGATTATAGAAAACCCCAGTTTTGTTGGGCAGAATGATTTCAGCTGAGTTTTCCTTGATTGTAAGTTTTTCCTCTCCATCATTGTTTGAATGAAGATTGCTTTTGTCCTCAGCCATCAGAATGTGCTGATTGTGAAGTATACTTCTCTTGATTGATAAGGGAAGGACTTGAAGACTGAAATTACCAGACAGATTCCTGAATGCCTGACATCTACCTTTTTGACTATGTATGCAATGGGATTTAAGTGCGAAAGCAGGAATCCCTGATTGAAATTTGATGATAAAGTCTGGAAGGCACACTAATCTAGATATAGTATGCATAATAATAGAATTCATATTAGGCATGAATATACCATAACCAGTACCTATGGCACAGAGAATAAATCAAAAGATAATCACTCCAATCTACTTTGAAATAAGCTTCTAATACCATCTATTGGTACACTATAAGAGATAAAAGCCATGAGAGTGAACAATAACTTAGCATGATGGGACAAAGCACACAGCTCAATCGCCAGCCATCTAGGCAGAGGCAGCAGAGTATTCACATTGTGATAACAGTCACTGCATTTTTCTGAACTGAATGTAAGAGTGCATAATGTCAATCAAACAGACAACAAAATACACTTGCAAATAATGACTCAATAAACTGTCAAGGCAAATTTAATTTTCACAGAAATATGAAAGAACATAATATGAGTGACACTACATGATCAACAATAAAAATATGACTCTACATGATCAACAATAAGAATGTAACTTCAGTCTGCATTATAGTCAACACACTGAATGGAAAGACTCTGCTGGACCTGAGCAATCAGATTGGGTGGGAGATCCTTCACCAGATCACAGACATTCTTGTCTTGGTCCTCAAATGGGTTATACTCACTGTATGGTACCACAACTACCTCCTCATTCATCTGTCCATGCGTGCTTTGTACTGACTGAAGATCAGATTCCAAATCAGAGAGAATCATGGCTGCTGCCTCATTCATGCTGGAAGCATCAGCCATCTCCCCTGGTTTCTCATTAGTGGGAGCTCTTTTGCGACGAGCTTTCCGAACCAGCTTCTGGTGGACCATTTTGATGTGTGCTGTGAGATCATATCGAACTACAAACCCCTTCCCACAGAATTCACACACATGTGCCTTCTGTTTGGAATGGCGTTTCTGGTGTTTTCTGAGACAACTGTCACTGGAGTAACTCTGTCCACATGTCTCACATATGAATTGACGCTCCTTCTGATGATAAAACTTGTGCTCTGTGAGATATGATTTGTAGACAAAACCCTTTCCTGAAAGATGAATAATTTCAAATGACCTTTCATAAATTACATCTTTATGTTATTAAGCAGCAAGGAAGACTGAATAACATGATGCTTACATTCTTGCAAGTTTGATCTGATAGAAATGCATAGAATTAAGCCCATGAGGAAAATTTTCAACGAACCACAAATATCACACTTGAAGGGGCGCTCCTTTGTATGTCTCTGCATCACATGACCAAGCAGATCTCTTTTTGAATTGAACCCAGTTCCACAAACACGACAGCTGAATGGTTTCAATGCCCTGAAAAGATTCAGAGTGACTTACATGAATTGAAGGGCTCAGTGCTACAGTACATGGCACCAACTTCCATTTCTGAAAATATAACATTTAAAGTTTGCAATGCCCTTAAATCAGTACCTAATGGGCAGGATCACCCAGAGGGGGAGCAAAGGGGACAATGTGCCCCAGGTTTCATGTATCAAGGGTCCCAAGAGGGGCCTCCAAAGGGCCTGAAGGGGTCTCTGGTTTAGTTTTGCACTAGGCCCCTGGAAACCTCTGGGTGGCCCTGCTAATGGGTGAGAAGTATTGAGGCCTTCAGAGGCTTTTTTTTTGTGCTAATGGAAAATTGTTCTATGGTGGATGAAAGATGAAGGGTTTAAGATATGGCCAGTAGAAATAACTTAGTTTTGATTATATTGTGACAAAGCATGTTATTGTACCAAAAGATTCAAATTAATTTATTTGTTTGGCCACTTGAGAGGCAGAAGTCCATGAAGGAAGAATGCTCACTCGTGTAAGACCATATGCTTTGTGAGATTTCCCTTGGAACTGAGCACTTTCTTGCATATTTCACATTTGTGTTTGTCCCTGCTGGTGCCCACTTTCTTGGTTGATCCCATTGATCTCGTTGAGGAATTGGATGAACTGTTTCCCTCAAGAAATGGTGACCTCACTTCGGGCTCATAGTCTTCCTGGATTCCAGAACTAATATCAAAATTCCTAGTGTCGGCGGCCTTGCAATATTCATGTTGATGGCTGCTTTCACTGACTTCTGTGCTGGAATTCGGAAGAGGGCTTGTCCCTTTGAAATTTTGCCTCATCATCATTTGCAGAGCAGTCAAAGCATCAGCTAAATCCGACACAGAATGATCTGATACGTGATGCATCTTCATGGATTCTGGGTCCAGGAAGCGTCTCCCACAAATGGGACACACGAGATCCATACCGGACCTCATATAGGCCACAGCCTTTCAGGAAAGTATGAAAGAAACAGTTTTCAGCTACGGATGATATGCTACTCAACGTAGCAACGTATTTCCAAAAAACGGAATGTCCATATGGGAATTCAACCACGAGCTGGCAAAACCTGGAGCCTTCACCAAGAAAAGCACATGGCTTTGCAAGTGCAGGACCACCCTTTTGTTGCATGGATCTACCTCGCCTTTGATTGGCTAGGGAAAGACTTGGGAAAGCGGATGGACGCCTGCAGGATCTGTTTTTGCAATGCTTTTTCTTTTTTCTAATCTTCATATGAAAACTATCATAGAAGCCCAGACACACAATAAAACTACCGGTTTTGCCAGGCGCTCGGAATAACATAAAAGAAGCACGTAATAACGCAAAGAAATGTGAAGAACAGCTATTCCATATCAGGCATCCGTGGTTGCTGATTTTCTCGGCTCCCAATAGATGGCCCCTTCTTTTCTCGCCTGAGTGTGGTTGGGTCATCAGGCAACGTGAACTGTCTCCTGGCCATCGCATCTTCCTAGCTTGGTAATAGTTTTCTTTTTCAATTACCTAAATCCTCACGCTGGCCAGTATTCAGAACGCACTTTCTTTCAGCCTAGGCGCTAAACCAGTCTTTGCTTGCGTCTATGAGAGGCCTAATGTGTCGACCATTGGTGTGAACATTTGGGGGGGGGGGGTGTACGTTTGTACAATAACTGAGATAAATGTATTATTGTAAGTCAAGGGTAGAGTCAGAATTACTATTATTTATTGTTTTAATGATTTCTGTAATGATCTCCTTGGATTACCAGTGGCTTCTAACCTGTGAAAGTGAATCCCTTCTCCCAGTTTACTTGTCTGACTCCCAAACCAAAATCTATTGGTCTAGGGGTCATCTTAACGTGGAAATATATTGATGTGTGGTGACAGTCACATTTATATATCATGGCATGTTAGAGCCATTCAATGATGGTTGATTTAGAAGTAATTAAGGAGATCCTAGCTGCCAAAATTTAAACTTGATCTCATATTTTACTTTGGGATGAGGTGCTACAATTTCTAGCAAAGTGCCTCAGTAGCCAAATTAAATTCATAATGCACTATTTCAATTTCAAGCTTTCAATTACTTTATCCTTCTCAATGGGGAGATGGGAACAATTTGACATATAATGCAAAGATACAAGGCAAATGGGAGGCTTAGGTCAGATCTTTATGGTGGGGTGGATAGCATGGAAGTCCATATTAGGTAGTTTAAATGTTTCATTTTTCTTCACTTTTTCAGCCATCTGCAAATCTATGACAATTACGGCAATGGCTACTCCAGAGAAAAAGAAGAGGAAAGAGAAGGAAAAGAAGGACAAGACTAAGAATCCCATGCGAGAAGTCCGCATCAGGAAGCTATGCCTTAACATTTGTGTTGGGGAATCTGGAGACAGACTGACAAGAGCAGCCAAGGTGTTGGAGCAATTGACCGGCCAGCAACCTGTCTTCTCCAAGGCACGCTACACTGTGAGATCTTTTGGGATTCGTCGAAATGAGAAGATTGCTGTTCATTGCAATGTCAGAGGTCCCAAGGCTGAAGAAATCCTTGAGAAGGGGTTGAAGGTTCGGGAATATGAATTACGCAAGGATAACTTCAGTGACTCTGGCAACTTCGGCTTTGGCATCCAGGAGCACATTGATCTGGGCATCAAGTATGATCCTGGTATCGGGATCTATGGTCTTGATTTCTATGTCGTCCTGGAGAGGCCTGGTTTCAATGTTGCACACAAGAGGAGGAGAACTGGCCGAGTGGGCTCTTCCCATCGCCTGACAAAAGATGATGCCATTAAGTGGTTTCAGCAGAAGTATGATGGCATAATTTTGCCTGGAAAAGGAAAATAATTCATGGCTAATCTGCATGGGGACATGCATTGTTCTCTGTGAAAGATTAAAATAAAATAAAGCCCACTCTGTTGAATTCCCTGTGAGTTATCATTATTTCTGCATTAAGAATTTGATGCAGATTTGCATGGAAATATGCAGTGCAGTAGGAGAAGCTAAAAATAAGGTAAACATTTGGGAGAACTCAAAGTGTTGTTCATCAGGTAAAAGAAATGTCTAGGAAATGAAGCATTTTGTTCATCCTGGGTAGGATGCCTGCAAGGAATAAAACTGGATTAAGGACACTCATTGCTTCAAATGCTGATGAGGGTGCCTTTAGAATAAAAGAATCATGGGCATGACTGGACTGGTAATAATATTGCATCACATAAAAGCCAATTCCTGTTAAACTTATTGGGGGCATAAACATGGACTGGGACAGGTACACTGATGAGGACGAGTGCCCCAAGCAGTTGAACAGAGAGGAAGGATGATCCATATCAGACATCCCTGATGGCAGTCATGTCTTCCCACACCCTGTCACTCGGTATCCTGTTTCCACGGGCCTAAGCAATATGATCGCAACTTTGATGCTGCTCAGGCACTCTATCCTCCATTGGACTGTCTGGGCTAATGTGGCATGTTCAATTGAGACACACCCAATTCCCACCTCTCTGTATGGAGCACAAAGTGACATACTTGAGCCCTTGGGAGAGCAGGTAATATCAGAAAGCTGCTGGGTGAACCTGAGAATTCCATAAGATCTGAACTTGGACCTCCTGTGTGCTGCTAGTCTAAGATCCAATTCACTGAGCCACCATGGCTTTGTCAAAGGATCTTGTAGTTTGATATATGGAAAGGTGTATTTGAGTTGATCTGTTTCATTGCCCTCTGGACATGTCTTACCAAAATCCACAAAGGGTGTCACTTGTAGAATTTTCTTACCATTAATTCCCAAGCAGGTTCTCAATTTTGCTATACCCTTGGTGATTGGTAAGGAGGGAAGGAATAAACTATTTTTGTGCCCTGGTTTAGATTCCATAAATCACTTGGCTACTGCTTCAAGATATATTCTCAGCTTGAGCAGCATCATTGTTCCCAGTGCATTTTGCAGCAGACCATATCAAATTTGAGATGGAGTTATCTCCCACTTTTCAGGTTGAACAGACCCATAGTGGATTTGATCCTTCAGCTCAGAGCTATTGGTGAATGATATACAAATCAAACTGGTATCAGAATGTTTCCAGAATCATATCCTTCAATGCTTTCAAAACAGGTTGAACTCTAAAGATGTCTGAGGGATATCTCCTAAGGACAAGTGAGAAGTCCCAGATAAAACTTGTAGGGACAACTCAGGGTCATCAAAACGTCTGAACATGGGGACATCCTTAGAAAGATCCTTTCTGACTTAAAAGATTCATTTTCCTGCTGTCCCTGAATATCATATATTCATCCCCAAATGTCATCCCTGAATATAAGGTGATTAAAACAAAACACCCTACTGTTTCCTTTGGGAGAAAGTACGATTGATATATTCAAGCAAAAATGATAAGATAGGTAAACTCTTGATATTGGACATATATACAAGGTGTTGAAATGATTGGCTTTTTTCAAAAGAATTCTCTGAGTCATGCATTGTCCTGATACAAAGTTTACAGGTAGATCTTTACACCTTAAGCACAGTAATGGTCTATGCTCCATCATCTCGAAATTCAATTAAAGGAGTTTGCCAAATTTTGATCCTTAAAACTATTTTAATATGTATATATTTTGAAAGGGTGCTCTTAGACAAACTGAAAAATGTATCCTTTTTTTTTCAAATTGAGCAATGAGCATGACCAAACAAAGTAGGATGATTACAAGTCACCATCAAATTTTCTTTGCTATATCTTTTGAAATGGCTTTCAGACACAACTGATATTTGTTGCAGAGGCTCATAGACCTATAAGGATAAGGCTTTTTTTTTTTCTTCCTAAAAAGTGGCATGAAAAGTAGATAGGGGTGTTGCAGTTGACTACAGTGCCCTCTATTGGCATGCATCTTGCAGTAGATGAAAAAGCCTCTTAGACTCATGAACCTCTCTGTTAAGTATCAGCTGCATCCAACTGTCCTTTGAAAAGTTATGGCCAATCAAATTAGGGGGGTGACTTTATAATAACCAGGTAGCTAGGAAATTAGCATCTGGGGGTTGGGGACCACGTGCCCCATGACCAAATTAAAATTCACTTTTCTCAGCCTCTGCTTGAAGTACAGACCTACGTTTTTTATCTGTTGGCTATTCTCAAAATAATCTGACCATTTGGCAAATTTCATTGAATTCTGATACTGTCAAGCACAGATCATTATCTCACTTAAGGTGGAAAGATCCACCTCTAAGCAGTGTAAATGTGCAATGCATGACTAAGGCAGGGATGTTGAAAAAAAAACTGACGTGCATCCCAACACCTTGTAACTATCTAATGTCAATCGCATAGCCAATGTATCATTCTTTAGCATTTCTGAAGCTGTGTTTCTTCCATAGAAAATGGTAGGGTGTTTTTTTATAAATCCCCCCTTTACTTGTAGAATGTCCCATACATTACTTTTTGAGACATCTCAGAGTCCAAAAAACATCTAGCTGAAGTGATATGTTGAAGAAAAGCCTTACCCAAGATAGAAGACTCAACCCTAAAGGGTTATGCTTTGAATACCTCCAGGTTATGTGTGTAGAATTTCTGAACAAGCATGCTCTTCAGTTCTTTCCTGAACAAAGCCAGCGCTCAGATCTTCAACCAAAATTGTTGTACCCAGACATGCCAATTAAGCATCATTACTGAAACTATTACTCAATTGAAATGAAGCTCCAAATATTCACTTTCCTCAGTCAGTTTTCCAGATGCACAGGATGAAAATCATTGCATCTCCTATATACAAAACCAACATAGTAAAAATAATAAGAAAGATCTGAGGTTGGAGGTCGTGCACCTCTAATTCATGTCTGCACATTGGTTGCAGGTCAAGCATGTCCAGAGAGAGATTCTTTTGCACCTTTTACAAGATGAATCAACTTTCAGGTCAGCATGTTGTACACTCCATTACTTGCTACTTAAGATGATGCTTTATAAATTACTATTAATGGATAAAGATGGCTTTAGGATGTCCCATTGAGGCCTTTGGACAAGTCAAGCAGTTTGCAATATCCCTGGAATGTCTCTGTGCTGTGTGGGATTGATCAGCTTGAGATAGCATGATATCCTTTTAGTTGAACAATGTGACTACTTCTACCTCCACCTCCTTCAGGGTGTAGCAATTTCAGCTCTCCATCATCTGTGTCCCCTGCTGTACATCATGATCTTTATCCTCTGAATGTTGAGTTTTAGGTCTAACAACATCACAGCAAGATATCAAGTGAACTTTGCAAGGGAATAATCCAAGGACCTGGTGGATATTTGTTTCCTAATACAGGGTGGCCCATAAGTCGCTTTACCATTTAAAAATCGAATAAATTTTTTGTTTGTTAATTTTTTGTATTTATTTTTATAATATAAAGTACAGAAAATGGGAATTTTTTAAAACTATGTATGAAAAATGATATGTAAATGACCCCCATTTTCCGCTTCGCAAGCACGGGCTCTTTCTACGGCATTTTCCATGACGGCTTTTAACATGTCTGGCTCCAGCGCTTGAATTTCTTCCCGAATGTTGTCCTTAAGCTGCTGGATGGTCCTGGGCTTATTGACATACACCCGATCCTTCAGGTAGCCCCAAAGAAAAAAGTCTGGTACTGTCAAATCGGGCGAACGTGGAGGTCAGTTGAAATCTGAATTTCGCGAAATTATTCGCTCTTCGAAAATCTGCCTTAGCAGCTGCATTGTGGATCTGGCCGTATGGGCAGTTGCCCCATCTTGCTGCCACCATGTCTCAGGCATGTCCTCCACTGCAGGACGCACAAAATTTTCCAGCATTGCTCGATATCGGTCGCCGGTCAACGTAACTGTATTGCCATCTTCGTCCTCAAAAAAGTAAGGCCCGATTTCGGATGTTACACCGCACCAAACCGTGACCTTGAGGGGGTGCAATTCATGTTGATGGATGACCCTCAGATTCTCGGTGCCCCAAAACCTAGTATTCTGCTTATTCACAGAGCCATTCAGGTGAAAATGGGCTTCATCTCCCATGATCAGATTGTGAATAAAGTTGTTGTCTTCTCTAGCCATCTCTTGAATCCGGATTGCATAATTTAGCCGTTGCTGACAATCTATCGGCTTTAATTAATGCACCAATTGCACCTTGTATGGGTACATGTGTAAATGTGTTTGCATGCGCTGCAACGAAGTCCGTGAGATTCCAAGCTCGCGAGAACGTCTTCAAGTGGACGTTCCTGGTTCTTCCTGAATGCTCTGCCACACGTTCAATATTTTCCTGCATATGTACTGAACGTGATCTCCCGGCTCGTGGCAAATCACTAACAGACCCCTGTTGCTGGAAACGTTGAACCAAGTGATGTATTGCTGGTTTCGTGGGCGGATTCCTAACATGGAAATAGCGCATGTATGCTCTCTGTGTTAGAACAATGGAGCCCTGATTTTCGAAATAAAATTCAATGATTTTTACGCGTTGCTCCGTCGTGAATTTTTCCATAATAAATTTCCAGGGAACAAATTTTCAAAATCTGAAACAAAAATTTTAAAAAATTAATGGCAAAAAAGTTATTAAATTTTTAAATGGTAAAGCGACTTATGGGCCACCCTGTAGTAACCCGGAGTAATCCATTGCTGGATCGCTACAGTAGGTAGTAAGTAATATTCTTTTGATCAAGTTATCATTGTAAATGTTTCAAAACGATGAAAACATTTTACCAAGAAGTTTTTTTTAAACTACAAAATGATTTAGAAATTATGCAAAGCATTCAAAAAAAAGGGAAAGCGCATTTTGCGACACCCAAGATCGGTAACTTATAGGAAACCATGAGGCCTAACGTTCCCCAATTAGTCATGGCATGAAATATTGAATTTCTCCGGGCAACACCGGGTACTTCAGCTAGTCCTTTACAATAAAAAAAAAGTCATATTTTATTTAGGGCTGTCATGATGGAAGTTTTCAAAACATCGATGCATCGACCTGAACTATCGATAAGATATACATATCATCAATTTTTGCGGAGAATTGTCAGCAGCGGCGCTGAACAAAAATGCCATGGAGTTGTCAGTGTCAGTATTGCCAAGTAGGTGAGCACAATCATCCTACTGGATGATTATCTTCCGGGAGAAGTTTTCTGCTACTATTATGAATGAGGATGTGAATGGTAATGTTTTCTTTCTCAGTGTAACATGCCAAAAATAAAAAAATAAACTAACTTGTGCTTTAGTTGTAGGGGTGTTATTTGGACTGAGATTTGGAGAAGGGGCCAGAGATGATACAGTCTGAATCACTGGAATTGGTAGCTTGGCTGATGATGTCATCCCTGATGTCACCACTGGAAGAGTTGACACTGTTGCCGCTGAGATAACATTCAAATTCAGACAGATGTTATTTGTGATCCAGACATGGCAGATATCAGTGAAACAAGGGCAGAAGTGTCTAAAACATTTAGTAAATGCAAATAGGTAAAAATGAAAATGACGGATAGGTGGTCATAATTTCAAGATAACTCTGCTGGAAGCAGATAATCATAAAAACTTCCTGATTCAAGACAAAAAAAGGTAAAATTTAAACATTAGAGTTTTTGGAAACTTGGAAAGGGACTTAAAGATGTGGTACTCAGAAGGACTTCCTTTTGGAAAACCATAAAGTGCAGTGTTAACTCTTCCAATTCTGCTTCCAGCAAAGCAGATTGGGAGGCTATTATTTTGTGTAAAGATACCTTTTCTTTAAAAACATGAAAAACAACTGAAAAAATGTTCATACACTTGATTTTTTTAAACTGTAAAGTAATATACAGCTAAAATGATAATCTCATATAATTAGGAAGACTTCTTGAAAAAAAAATGAAATAACTAAAAAAAAAACGAAAATATTTCAAATTTATTTTCCACTAATTTTTTTCTCTGGATCTTCCTTTACATATGGTTTGACACTGTGTCTTCAGGATGGTTGACCAAATAAGTGCTTGAGTATAAGTGCTAAAATAATTTTTTTTTCAGCCAAAAAATGTTGGATGGACACTGTTGTATGTGGCTGCACAATATCATGCAGGAGGAACCACTTTCCTGATGCCCACAACTCAGGGTGGCAACAATAATGCATGGCTGCATACAGCAGTGTCCATCCCACAATTTTTAGCATAAAAAATCACTGTTTTACCACATACTCTGTATTCACCAGATCTGTCACCACCTGACTTTTTTTGCTCCCACGGCTCAAACGAGCAATGAAAAGCCATCACTACTCAGACATTCAAGCCATTCAAATGGCCGTGACAGAGTTGATCATTAGTATTCCAAAAAGTGCTTTCCAGAACTGCTTCAATGACCTTCAGCAATGCTGGCAACGGTGTAATAATGCAGAAGGAGACTACTTTGAAGGAAACAAATTACAAATTGTTCCCACATATCTTGTATTAATTTTTATGCAGTCAGTCCAGGAACTTTTGAGACAGGTTTTATTTATCAGGTGTCCCTTGGTGTATCAAATTCACTGTAGCACTTCGAAATATCCTTGAATATTTGGACACATTTCTGACTAAAAAATGAATCAAAATAAGATGTAGACAACTTTCTGAAAGAATGTCAACTTTTGTTGGCACAGGTTGGAAGAGGGTATTCTAATCTTCCACTTCTCATTGTGACTGCTTTCCAATCCAATTCAGCCACAGAGTCAGTGGCAGCCCTCTTGGGCATCATGGGATCACTGTCATTATCAGTACAATGATGAAGCCAGGCAAGACCACAGGATGATTGAAAAGTAGGCTCCATCTTCACAGGCTGCAGCTCCCCCAAAGGTCCAAGAAAGTCAGCATTGAACCTGTTGCTGGATTGGCTTGGAAAGCAGTTACAATGAGGTAAGGGAACTTAGAATCCAAGTATTGCATTTTATAGGTTATGATGGGGCCTCTACATTAGAATACAGTGAGACCCAGTGGTCTCACTGCAAACTCAGAGCAAGTAACAACTGGAACCATCAAGTGGCTTTGCTATGCTTTAGCAGATAAGAGATGGAGACTTGGAACCATACATTTTCTCAAGTGACCCATAAATTGTCTTATTTTTCTCCATTCTCCCTCCCCCCCTTCATAAAACAGGTCTTCTTCCTTCAGTCTTAGGTTGCCAACTCCTCCTCAAGTCAGATCTGGAGATTTCATTTTTGGTGGACTAAATTGGTTATGAGAGGTTCCTGCTGATGGGGGGGGAGAGTAGTAACAACTGCCATATTTCCTCTTCCCAGCTGTCCCTATTCTGTAAGCTTCTATTAGATATAACTGTTGTTCAATATCTTCTCATGATTTGGAAGAGTGAGGCCACAGGACCAGCAAACAGTCAAGGCTTCCCATTTCACTGCCTTTTTGTTCCCTCTCTAAGTCCTCTGAGTGAAACCAGGAGTCTTCCAGTCAAATTAGAAGAATTATCATGCCTACTCCAGTCTCCATATTTTTCAGGAATTCCCATAAAAGAATAAGGTTTGAAATATGTGGAATTCCATCTCTTCCTCAACCCAGTATTTCCATCCTTGCATGTAGAAGTATTTGTGCAATTGGTACATCTTTCCCTTGCATCCTTCAATCTTCAGTAGCAACTGTGATATAGCTTCCAGCACAAAAAAAAAGTTTTCTAATTACAGTTTGTTTCACCTCCTCAGAATAGAACCCAGGGATATGACCTAATGGAAGAGAAATGGAACATGGAAGAAAAACTAACCAGTGCTCTGAATGGGCAACTTGGCTGAAGATGACAATATCCCTTGTGTCACCACTGGGACTGGGGAAACTGCTGTGGCTACCATAACAATGGCAAACATATTGCTCATGAAAAACTAACACTTGATCAGAAACTTTACAGTTAGGGTCATAGGCCATAGAGGCTAACTGAAAGTCTACATTGAATATATTCAGACACCAAAGATGTCTAGCTAAATGCATTTTTGGAACATAATTGGGAGAGTTCCCAGCTTGAACCTATTTTAAAGTTTGACCTGAATGAAATTAGTTTGGCAAAACTGAGGTCAATCAGGCATTACACATCTCTAGGCATGAGAGCATTGTTAACTGTCATATGTCATGATAATTGGCTGAAAATACAAGTTACACAAATGTCAATGAGCAGGCCATCTTGACAGATCTGCTGGTGAACTGTATCACCATATGCAAAGAAAAATTCATTACAAAAGCCAAACACCCAGGTTGAAAATTTCATATAAGACCATATATGAAATGGTCATATATTCAACCAGTTTAACACATATGGTGCATATATGAACATATAATGCAATTCATATATGAACATATGTGAAGCATATATGGGGTTTGACACAAGTCATATAAAATCATATCAGAAAGAAAATATATGCCCCCATGCATTTTCATATATTGGCTCATACAAATGCACCATATACTGTCCATATATGCCTTGTCATACCTATGTAAGATGAAATTACCTGAAACATGTCTGTATCCAAAAAGGGTCTATAATCCATCAAATACTGTGTAATCATTCATATGCAAGTCACCATATTTTACTTGCAATCAACTCATTTTTAATTGTTCATAGACCACAATTACTCCAAAAACTCATGTTTCATGGTGTTCAATATATGCACCCTTGTTAATGAAGGTGCAAGTTTCAATATTTTAGACTTGAACCTTCACAAGTATTTTCATCAGTAATACTAAATACTACTTCATGACAAAACTTGGCTTACTCATGTAGGAGTGTCTTCTTCATTTTGACTGACAACTCAGATAGAAGGGAACAAAAACTGCATTTCTTTCTGAAATAATCTAATGAAGGAATGGTCCTAGAAGAATTTGAGGTATTCACTTCAAAACTAGCTCTTCATATGTGGTTATAACACTGAGGCAGAATGAAGAAGCCTAAATTTCATTCAAGTATTCTATATATGAAAACTTCAATCTGCCAAGTAAAAAAAACTAAACACAAGTGGAGCACATAGGAGAAGCTGACCAGTGCTTTGAATGGGCATCACAGTTGTGGTCATCCCTGGGGCTTTTTTCTGGAATGATGAGGCACACCCTTGTGAGCAGAAGTTGGCAGTCTTCCCTGATCTCAGCATCAACTGATATGAGATTGGAGCCTGCTTCTGACAATACTCGCAGCGCACCCTACAAGGAAGACACTTCAATAAAGCATAACTTGAAGCATCTGCTATTGGGTTTTTTCATAAAAATGGAGTCACTGCTTCAACGTCAGACATACACCTGTCATCTATCTTTCAAGGCCCTTCATAACTATTCAATTTCATGATCATATTATGGCATCTCAATTCTTCTAGACATTCAAGGCAGAGTGAATATACACCAATGGCTATATAGAACTACAGTGCATACCGAATGACATTTGGAGTAGGGGCCTGGGTTCCACTTGAACTGGAAGCTGGCACTGCCAGTGTCTGGATGGAATTTGGAACTGACTGCAAAGCTTGATTTGTGGTTGCTACAGCTGAGGTGGGTTTTGGCAGTGGTAACTTCTCGTAGCAAACCAGGGAACAGAAGTACTCAATAGGTCTAATGGTGGGGCTCCATCTCTCAATCATGTCAAAGTTGTACTTCTTCACCTGCCAACACATACCTTTGATTATGATTACAATTGATTTTCCTTAGCATAAGCATGCTCAGAAAACAAGGGGCTCAATTAATGGCTAAATGAAATTCAAGAACATTTTTCTGCAAAAATTACATTATTTTCTTTATCATGGCCAATCATTAAATAGTCATTCTTTCATCAACCATTCCCTTATAAATTGCTCTATAAAATATACATTTTGAAATATTTCCTCTTTATTACAGAATCTTACCATTAGTTAATGTTGTTTGTGCTATGAAAGCTCATTTCAAATAAGGCAATTTTTTAAGAATTATTCACTGATTTCAGGTTTCTTCACCTGGAACAATTCTTTTCATCCATGGGAAGGAGGTGTCATCCCAAAGGGTGATACCAAGAGGCTAGGGACTTGGAGAGCTTTCAAATTTCACTTGTACCACTTATAGCTTTTACACTTACCATTGTTCCAGTTACATGAATGAGCATTTTCTATCAGGGCTCTCAGTTTTATACATTTAACAATACACTGTGCTTCAGTTCTCTTTAACTGTGTCTTCAGATCAGAATTTATTGGAATGCATGTCTTTAACTAGCTGAGACATTGGGTGCCAAGAAGGTTTCAAAGCAGATATGGGGGTTGGGAACTTGTCACTGGACCGAAAAATGACTTCCAGCCCCCAGATGCTAACCTACTCGCTCCTTGTCCTATAGGGTTGTATTATGTCTAAAATTAAAGCTAGAAGAAAGGAGGATGAAAATATGCTAGCAGATTTAATTAACATTTTTTGAGAAATAAGGAAATTACCAGTATTGAAAAAATTATCATTGGTGGGATGGAAAAATTCAATGCATCTATGAACCAAGTGACTTTGGGGTGTTATGATTCCTGAATGATTCTTTTCATTTGCAAATTGAAAAGATGGTAATGAATTAATAAACAGTGGCTATACCAATCAAGTCCATAATATAGCAATGCTGAAAGTTTGAGGCTATTTTTGCCTATGGCATAATTTACAGCCATATCTCAGTCCACCCTCATTGGCCAGAGAGACCTGTGATTTTGGCAGTATGCTATTATCACAATAATCTGATAACATTCAGACACCATAATCTGCCACCTAATCCATTGAATTCTGAGATGGTCAAGCATAGACCATTGGCACACTTGAGGAGTGGTCCATCTGTTAAGTTGTGCAACAGGGCAAAGTAAGGTTGAGATGAGTATACTAACAAAAGCCTAGTACTTGTTATAACACCTCATAGCCTTTCAATATTGTTGACTTATCCAACTTATTGCTGGTCATGTACATTAAGCTATCTTTCCCCCATTGCAGACAAGAATATTTCAGATTTGCATTATTTAACCCTATTCTAAACTTCTGAGAATGGAAGCTCTGTAAATAAATGTGCAAATTGCAATTATGCACATAGATTTAAAAAAAAAACATGTAGATGGCAAAAGGTGTGCTCTGCCCCCAAATGCATAAAAGTGTGGGTGGTGGGAGGATTTGCCACCCCTGCTTGCCCACTTTCTACAGCCTTGAAAGAGGAGTTAATCAGAAAGACTTATATAATCAGCTTCCTTAAATTCTCCTAAATCTCCCAAAGACAGGAGACAAAATCCCTAGTCATAAGTGATGCAGCTATCAGCAGGCATGAAAAATAACCAAAGGATAAGGAAAAGAAAAAGTGCTAAGGGAGCAGAATATTATTATCTGCATCATTCTTCCATAATATATAAAATGTATATGAAGGCAACAAGAGGTCCAATCGAGCAGTCACTCATGTCTCACAGTAGTTTTTCAAGGGGAATCACTAGATCTTTTATTGTAGACCTTAATTGCTGTTTCAACTGCATCATTAAGTATGTACAGTGTCTATGGTTTGGAACAAGAAAGTAGAGAACAAGTTGGCAGGCAATTTCACACGGGGCAAACATGCTTTCCCTCTTTCCTTTTCTGTTTCACAAATCTATGGTTTCTATGAGATTTCTAAAAAGACTAAAGAAAGCTTCTGTACCAAATTTAAGTTTTATGAATCTGACTGATTCCCTGTAACTATAACAGACATTGAGAGCTCAATAAAAAGTGACAGGGAAAAAGGGATATATAAACAAAATTGCCATAGAAACCAGCAAATCTCATATGTGTATTAACTGACCTTGCATGATGCACAGGGGACAATCTTGCGGGTTGCCAGCACAAATACACTCAAACACACTTTGGAACAAAAGTATTCAGTTCTTCGGTTGTAGGTCGTACTCATGGTTTTCTGGGATTCTTTTTCCAGGTACTTGGAGCAGATCTTGCATCTCACTATAACAATGATGAAGAGTTGAAAATATTCACAAGAGTAATTAAGATAAAATGATGAGGCTGTCATCTATGATATCAGGAACCAACTAACCAACACTAAGGTGATTGGCATATTTGAATGCCATGAAGCATGGATCTGAGCATAGGGAGGCATTGCGTGCAGAGAGGATCACTTCAACCTTTGCTGGTTTCACCTGTCCACAAACTGCACACTTTGCAGGTGGGCCTGTTGTTTGCTTTGAACGAGCTCCATTTAGTTCCTCGTGCTTTTCCATGCATTTTGGGGAGCAAAAGTCCTACAAAAGAAATACACTCTTACAGTCATGTTTTTTGTAGTAACTACTAAGTTGATTGCATGAAGCAGGAATCTTTACCTTGAACACTCCTTTGTCCCCAACAGGTGCCAGGAAGCTATCTGAAGAATTTGAAATGTCCATCTGACAGTAGGTGCAGACCTTGAGGTTCTTCTTGAAGCTCTCCAGACAAGGATTGGAACAGAACTGACGAATGTCAGAACCAAACCGCACACAATACTTCCCAAGACAAGGTGCATTCACCTTGGTCTTGCACTGGGCACAGTGGGACCCATAGTGAGTCTGGTATTTTTCTGAAAAAAAATATATATTCATCTGTCTTCTTTCATGGTCACTCAAGTAATCCAAGGACTTTCAGTATCAAGGTCTCACCTAAACAATTCTGCGAGCAAAAATCCATGGTCTCCCAAGAGAGGCCAAAATTTTGTGATTGAGTGTTAGCATTGCAGTAGGCACAATGAAAAGATCTTGGGATTCCATTCAGGCAGGCAGGTGTGTTTTCATCAGTACTGGAGACTTTGCGAACAGGTTTGAGCTTTGATGAGCCTTTTACAATGGGTGCTGATCCAGAAGTCTTGAACCCATGTAGGGCTTTGTACGTATTGAAGCAGGATTCATCACAGAGGTGTATTCGCTTGTCACTCATGATGACTTGGTATCGACATAGCTTCAGCTGGTTCAAATTGGAAGCAGGATGTATAATTAATACATTTAATATTTAAATTAATACAATTGCCAATGCTTAGGAATAACAGAACCACTTCAAGGAACTGAAAGCTCACATAGGAACTCCAGTTTTAACTTTTAATGCTTCATTTTACAGGAAAAAAAAAACAGGGCTTCAGTGACCTTTTCATGACAAGACTCAGAATTCATTTAGAAAATGGTTGAATGAAAATTATTGAGTTGTTCAGTGGATGGAAATTTAATGATCCTTTCAAGTTGGAACAGAAGTAAATGCTAAATGCCATCATTACAATTGCACCAAACATCTGAGGATCATGAGCAAGTGGTCTTTTGATACTTTTTTTTCCCATGTTCCTTCCAGTCTAAAGCAACTACAACAACTTAATTGCTTCCCAATCATTGAGATCTTACAATCCTGTTTTATGCCGTATGAAACAAGCAAAGGTAATTTTCACTTCTAATAATACTATCTGGAAAGAGAAAAAAATAACAAATTCCAATTTTCAAAAAAGAGAATACACAGAATATCAATGAAAAAAAATTTGCATCAATAATTAAAATTATTCCTCCTAAGACTTGGGTGGCTTGTACACATGCCAAATCTGCCAAATCCAAAGGTGTTAATTTTTCTGGGCCTGAGGAGGTTAAGTAAATAATGAGCATGTCAAATGAGGTATAGAGCACTAAAAATCATTCAGGCATTCCTTAGCTACAGGTTTGATGCTGGAGCATACAAAGATCTTTAAAAAGTCTTGAAAATAATTTTACCTCAATAACTTGAGTGACTATCATTGTACACCCATGTGAAAATCTCATATAAGACCATATATGAAGTGGTCATATATTTGGCCAGTCCACCATATATGGGGCATATATGAACATATAATGCAATTCATATATGAACATATGTGAAACATATATGGGGTTTGACACATCGTATCAGAATGAAAATATATGCTCCCATACATTTTCATAACTCCAACTAGGATTTGAAGCTGGGGGGAGTTCGAAATCAAACTTTTGGCAAGTTACTTTAAAGGTTATACATAACTAATATTTCATGTAAAATATAATGGATGCATTAAAAATTAGTTGCAGAGGCATCTGAAGATCAATTTCCCTCATGTTTAACAATCTCATGCAGAGGCATATTTTACAGGAAGGGGGCAGGGGGTGTGGCTGCCCCCCCCTTGCATCCCTGGGACAGGGCTTGGCACCCCCACTCTGCTGCCCTGTCCCCCCTGACTCTTCAGCCAAAATACAACACTGACCTCATGCTATGTTTTACTTACAACAATAAGACTTGTCCATGGATATTCACCATATATCAGACATGATGTCATTTGCCCATCACATATAATATTGCAATGCACATAAAATATATATACATCATACAATTGTTAATATATGAATATATACATGGTGATATATGGCAAATATAGAATCATACACCCAATCATATATGGAATTTTCATGTGGGCAGTGTCATGAGAGAAACACTTGGTAATAATATGAAAGTACAACTACATCTTTGTATGTTTTGTTTCCTTATAAGTTCGGTGACATTTTCTTGCTGTTGCAATGAATTTGGAGTGATTGGCAAATGCTGTTTTGTGTTAAGCCAGGGAAAAGTGTGAAAGTGACCCACCCACAGTTCCCTTAACCCTTTCAGACCTGAATTAAGGCCACTATTGGAATAATAAACTTTTTTGCTTTTTTTTTATAGCTCTTTTCCTATTCTATTAATACTTAAAATTTTTACATTCTATATATTGTTTTTTTTTTCTTCATAAATCTACCATATCATACCATACATTGTATATTATACATGTAATTACATAACTGAAGATTACGAAACTACAGGTGAGAGAAGGCCTCCGACGCAATTGAGCCATGCATAATTGAGTCCATTGCAGTGTAATATGGGGGGCAAAGTCACAAGAATCCCAAGAAATTACCATAGAAACAATGAAAATGCAATGTCCATTGGAACGGATGCAGGGTCTGAAAGGGTTACATTTGTACATGGGTGCAATCCACTGTAGCTCATAAGAGTGTATAAGTAGTTTAAGCAATTCCAAAATTGATGCATATTGCGAATGCTCCCTGCCAACACAATTCCTACTTGTTAATGGGTAAGATGGGGTTCATCTTCAATGCTGCTCCCATATCAAGATCACTTTAACCATCTGTATGCTGTTGCAAAAAATAATGTATTGTTTCCACATGCACTTTTCAACATATTTCACTCTCTCTATTGGAGTTTCCAAGAGCTTATCATAGAACATGTAATGAAATGAAACTAATGAACTATAGTAACTTGTAATAATACTACCCATAATAAAGACAAAGTTCTCATATAACACAATCTGAATAATACCATTCCTGGATTTTGGGGTAAAAATTAATTTTCAAACCTTTCTGATAGGTCCTCATTCATGGTTTCCCAATGTTGTCAATATGGTAGAATTTTGATTTCATGGAGCACCAGAAATCACACATTTGCAGTAAAAACTCTAAGACTGTGAAATGAAAGAACACGTAGTGTCCACCTATGCAGTCACCTTTTTGCATTGAGCACATATCTGTGTGATCATTCCAGACCCCTCATTCTCGGCCTCTTGGTTGGCTTCAGCTTGAGCATATATCTGCCAAGTGCAGAGGAAGATTGCAGCAATATATAAGACAACTACACAATTGAGAGCAAAATCTCAGTTTTTCTTCTACAATTAAAAAATGTAAAACAAGTCTCATACAAAAGCCATGACTGAGAATTTTAAAAATTTGAAACAACTCACCCTGATATTGTTTTCTGCCTTTTTGGCTGCCCTCCTAGGTGTCCGCCGTGAACTGGGGCCAGGTTGAGATTCTGGTTCTTTAGGTGAGTCCTGCTGCCTTGGTTTCTTGGTAGATCCTGAGATCACTGATGTCCCAGGTTTTGCAACATTCTTGAATGTAGTCTTCACTTTCATTTCACTTTTTCTCACAACCACTCCCAAGAGGTGTTCCATGAGGGAGCTGATCACAGCTTGTCTCTGGTCCATTTCTGCTGCCACTTTTATCACTTCTACTTCAACATCATCACCTTGCTCCATCTCCACACTGGAAACATTGCTGGTCATTATTGCATCTGTTTCACAAGTTATTTTCTCTTCAGACCTACTGGTAACCTTTGGCATCTCTGCTGCTTTTAGTCGCTTTTTACCATTTGATGACTCTTGTGTCTCCCAGCATTCAGAAGACAAGACAACTTCTGTTGAATAGTGGGACTCTTTCAACTCAGTTTGGCCAGATTCATCATCACTTTTAAGTTCAATGAGATCATTCTCTTTGTCAAGTTCCATAGGAACCACATCAGGACTGCAGCTGAATGCAGAATCAGACTGCACCACAGCACTGCTCACATCATCAAGAATAAGTCTACTCCCACTGTCACTCTCTTCTCTCATGAGGTGCTCCTTTAGAGAAGGTCCGGGATACTCAACATCCACATCCATGTCTGACGAGAGCTGTTTCTGAGACTCACTTCCACTCACAGACACACAGTTCTCTTGTACTGAAGCCTTTGATCCAGGCAAATTGTTGGCTGACTTGGAATGTTTGGAGCCATCCATATGGTCTGAATTTGATTTATGATCAACATTACTCACTTGGCAATTTTCAGCATTCTGTTGAGGTGTCTTTGTACTTTCATTCAAATTCTTCCTGTCACACTTCTGCAGAAGCACTTCAGAGTCACTACAAGCTTCTTCCATCATTCATTTCATTAGGATTCTGGTTTTACAGGGGCCAGCATTGTTCTCACCAGCATGAATAAAAATCCATTTGGGCTTTGCTATAAGTCACAAAACAATCTGAAACAAAATATATATCCATCAGACTCATGCCTGCCATATCCCATCTAAACATGAATGAATATATGAAGCCATGCCTTTCACTTATATGAGATAAGCATTTCTATCATCCCAGTACTGAAGTATAACTGATGATGTAAATGTTATTAGTGACAGGCCTATATAAAGATTGATAAAACCAGAAGATTTAAAGTTTTTTATGGCAAAATTTTGTTTTATCTGCTATTATGAGTACTTCACACTGACCTCTCCCTTACTCTTTGAGATCCTAAGACTTGACATAGTTTATACCAACTCAATGATCCATTGAGGAATGAGATATATTTTTAATCACTGTATGAAACATAATGCTGCAAATTATAATTTGACTTCATACCTGGGAGAAACAAAGAACTAGAATAGCACAAAAAAATGAACTACTTGCATAATTTCATGCAAATATTACAACTATTTTACATGAATAAAATAGATAATAAATAATTTATATTTCATGAGTCTCTTAGAGGGCATGCATCCACATTCTAATGTTATTACTTTTTCCTTTTAAAATGTGCTGAAGTTATTGATTCACAAGTGCACAAATAAATCAGAATAATTCCCAGGAAAAATTATCCTTTATCCATCAGGTCCTATTCCAGACCAATTTGGGAAGGGTGATCATGGGTCTTGTCAACGTAAAATATCCCTCAATATCTTCACCTAAACCACCAATTAGCCATTTTCTATTTTTTCCAAGAAGGCACTAGAAGCCTACAATCTGGCAACTTGCACATATAGACTTGCAGCTTCCATCTAATTAACCAACAGTTTGGGGTCTAAATATATAGTGAAATAAATTTTATTCTGTTCATAAGTCTAACTTAACTTACAAGGTCTGTATGATGGTATGGATGTGGAAAAAAAACCTCAACGAGCATGGATGCTTTCTTATAACTGGGCCTAGGCTAAATGATAAAATATGTAACGAGTCAATTTTTGGGAACACTTTTGCCAATTTCAGAGTGGGACAGCTGAGGCGCTGGACTGTATCATTTGCAATCTGGTGGCGAGTGGCTGTCTAGGTAGCCTCTGCCAAGGCATGCACATGGTCCTAAACAACGAGCAATGTTTCATTTAGCCTAGCCTCAGGTCAAGGCATACTCAAGGGGGCACATTCAGGAACGGCTCCTCTTCGGGAAGGGTTTGACGTCATCGTACAGAGATAGATGCGGGTTCTGCCTAACGCCATCTCCAACTTTCCAGCATGATGGGCGCAGAGCGGCACTCGCCGAGTCTTCGAAAGCAAAACTGTTTCCAAAACCTGAAAGCTTTCAGCCATTCGACCAGAGTAGGCCTCGAGCGACCAATAGCGTTTAGAACAATCAAAATTTCCTTCCATACTGTGGTTAGGCCTGCGTTACCAAGATGCGCGCGACTGGAAAAATGGACATCGACTGGTCCGAGTCCGGCATCGACAGTAGCACCATTAGCGGCTCCTCCCAGAAGCTCATTCCTGTAGGAATTGCCCTCGTGGTAGGCCTATTCCTACGATGTCCACACCTTCGATAGGTCACGATTCGATCGTGTCGCAAGCTGCTTCCACCTTTATGTCCAGTCAATGTTTTGAGCATCCATAGCTGCGCAGCAAAAAAAAAAGGCAACCTGAAGAAACAGACGTGAAACAGGCTTATGCTACGCCTGAAATTCGGGATATTCTTCTCGTAGGTAAGAAAAAGTGCTTCAATCAATATGTCTTATTCAAAACGCGGGTGGTTTGAGGAATTCGTTCCAATGCGATAAAGTCTCGCAAGAGGGAAAAATAATTTCCGCACCTCTGGTAGACCTGACACGCACGAAGGGCAGCCGTCGGCCTGACTAAGCGGAAGTTCTGCGAGAATGCGAACGGCTTTGGCGAACCTAGCGCTCCAAGCAGACGACAGTGGAACCAGTTCGTTATGACGTCATGTGGTATGGCAGCGCCCATTAATTGTGCTTACTAGGATCACATCTACGTTGTTTGATAAATCGTTGAACTGAAAACAATCGTCATTTTTATATCCCTCGTTTATTATTCCAGATCTCTCTTCTACTCAGATTCTGGTGTTATTTACCATCGCTAGGCCTAGCCTAGCCATCAACCAGCAGGCCAGATGGAGATGTTCTCGAGTGTGTCTAGTTGGCTGGGAGGTGTGATGGCAAAGAAGTCAATTCCCACTGAAGAAGGAACTGTTCCCGTGGCTTCACCCTCTGAGGGATCGAATGAAGTAAATAATTCTGAGTCACCTACTTCACAGCTTTCAACCAAGGGCTCCACTGATGAGAAAAACGAGAATGAGGATTCCAGGTGGGACGAATTTTTCCCAGGCTACGCTCATTAAGCCTAAACCTAGAGTCTATCAGCAGACATAAGGCCACACTTTGACTTGTAAGAGTGAAAAACTTAGACCCTAACCTTTGTGGTTGGTTTGACATAAATATGCCTAGGCCCTAGGAGCATGACTCAGGAAGACATACCCTAAAGGTAAAAATTTTTTCCAAATCAGTCCAACAGGCAGTGCAGACAAGGAATCACTGACATCTGGACCAGACACTCCACAGTCAGAGAAGGAGGACCATGCTGAAGGAACTGGAATCAAAGGAGACATTGCTGAGGTTTCCAACAGAGCCTTGCAGGGAGCTAAGAACTTGGGCTCATTCCTCTTCTCAGCTGTCAATAAAGCTGGAAAGACTATGAGTGAAGCTGGGGCCAAGCTAAAGAAAACAGTAGAAGAGAATGTGAGATAATGTTTCTGTGATTTGTGGGTTTTCCTGAATGTGAGACCTTGACTTCAATGGTTTGGTCTCTTTTCAGAGTATTTTAGGAGAGTTTAACAAGGAGCAAGAGGCATTCCTGAAGGAGAAGAGTCATGAGGGTGGTGACATTGGAGTAGCTCCTTGGGTTGGATATGCTGATGAAGAGACTCTTAAAGAACAGATATTGGCTCTCTCCTCTGTTAGTCCCCAATTCTTTAGGCAAACATCTATAAACTGTTTTTGGATTGAATTGGTACCCCCCCTGGAGTGGTTCAATCAAGTACAGGCAGGACACCTTGTGGATGAAAGGTGAAGTATCAATAGAACATCTAACAACTGTGCGGAGCAGCAGGCTTGACATCTAGTGGATCATCTGGGAAGCCTGTGTTTTCTCTGTTCTCCGCAACATGGTATCAATTCAATCCAAATGGGGGTATCAATTCAATCCAAAAACAGTATGTGCCCTAAAACTGCATTGGAAACTGTTTTAGATTATTTGGAGCTGAGAAATTTTATTTATAATGGTTCTAGAACTTTTAAGTAATGATAAGTGATGATGACATGCACGTTCACTTTCTACATGAATGTAGATTATGAAATACTTTTGAATTGCATAATGATAAATTTACAGAATAACTATGAGAGGAATTGCAACTTCATGTGGCATATTATTGTTGTTACATTATATGAAGTATTGGAGTTATCAGTATAATTTTTGAGGCACATAACAACATAATGGGATGATTTTAGTTCACATTTTAGAGAATATGTCAGTTAGAAGCTATATATTAACACAGCTGATCTAGTAAAAACTTAATGACTGCAATATCTTCAGGTGCATGTTTCTCAGAAATGATGAACATCGAGCAAGGTCTGATCTCCAGATGTATTCAACCTAAATTACAAAAATAGTGAAATTTAAGATTTTCCTATTAGGTATTCAGTTATCTTTTCATTTAGTCTACCTTTAGGAGAGAGGAGAAGCATAAAACGTTTCCACTGATTTTTTCCTGCAATGTTTCATGGAATAGGTATGGGTTTAGATATTAAGTCAGGATGTCAGACTGACTTTAGAGGAGTGATGATGAACAGTCCTGATCCATGTTTAATCAGATCTATACACATTGTAGTCTGACTTTCTTAGATTGGTTTGCTTTTGTGGTTAATTCTCCTGCTGTGGCATTTATTTTAGGACCGGAGGAACTTCGTGAGAAATCCGCCCTCTGGGGTCCAGTTCTCCTTCAACTATGATACCATGTACCCAGTGGCCCAGGCCATTCTGGTGGAAGACAAGGAACTGGAGAAGATGAGATTTGAGCTTGTTCCAAAGCTGTAAGAGTAACTACAATTAATTATATGCCAGATCATGAATACCCAAAGTAAGCAAGTGCATCATTTGACTTTTTTTGTGTTGCATTGAGCAGAATCTCAGAGGAGACATTTTGGCGTAATTACTTCTACCGTGTAAGCCTCATCTGTCAGTCCTCAGAGCTGTCCTCAATGGCATCCACCAATCAGCAAGAGGACTCTGCCTCAGCCCCTTCCTCCCGCACTGATTCCATGGAGAAGGATACAGGAGATTTCAGCCCCATTCACACAGCTGACTTTGCCTCTGACGACTATCAGGCCTCATCCAAGGACATTGAGGAGGTGAGACGAAGTGTCCAGCAGCTCCACACCTCAACCAAGAAGAAGACCCCATCCAAAGGTGAGGGCGATTATAGCTTTCTCTCATTCCTTCTATGTTGATTTCTTTGTCTTGGTCAAAAACCATTGATATGTCAACAGGCATCTATGACAAATTTCTTCTGATTGGAAGCCTGAAAATGAAGGGCTGCACTGACCACAGAAGGGAGCATCTGGCTGTACCCCAGTCACTTATCTTAAAAGGAGTGAATGAGGAGTGGAAGTGTTGTAGTGACAATGCATGTTCCCAGTGTAAAGCCCAAAAAATGCATGTATTAATACTTTGCTTGTAGCAACCTAAATTATAGCAAAGTCACATGTGCAATTTTTTTAATCTATCCATCGCTAGTGGTAACCATGAGTTAGAAACAGGGAGCACCTAAAGTATTAAATAAAAAATCATCGATGAAGAAGAGAGGAAATAAATATTCTAGCAGGAAGTAAAATTGCAACATCAGATAAGCTCCCAACACTGAAAGATAGAGACATAGAAGCCTCTACATGTAATGAGCTTGAATGTTTTTTTGTCTTTTCATTTTCCCCCTTTTGTCCCTGGCTGGTTTTTAGAAATCATTCCCTCTTTCCTTCATTGGACAAGTAATCTCACAGACCCAACTAACCTTCTCAAGATATGCAGTCCATGCAAGATTCTGCAAATAGAACCATTGTGGAGACAACCATTTTCTTCACTAGTTACATGCTAGATATCCTGTTACTATCTGATATCCAGCCTTTTCTACAAGTCCTGTCCAATAGATGACTTGCACTTGTAACTATCTGCAAGCTGCATCTAGCCTACAAGCTAGGATCACAACCTCCTTTTTCCCCCCATGATGACTGAACTGCAGAACAGACTCACAATATAATAAACATTTGAAGTTGCAGTACACTGAGAGGAAAAGGTTGCCTCTTTGGTTCAGACACCATTCCTCAATGGAGTCCCTGACACAGGGGTGCCCCTCAATGGTCCTGAAGATGGCCTTAGGACAGGGGTGGGCAAACATTTTTGCCTGCGGTCCACACGAGAAAACACAAAAGCTTTCACGGGCCACAGCAGTTTTGTTGTCCTCCCTATCTTCAAGCTTGGAACATATCTTACAGATCCCTTGCCTACCTTTGCGTTGTTAGGTGCCTGGATAGTTGGAAGAAGCTGTAACACTTGATCCCTTGGAAGAGCCATCTTAATCATGCTGGGAGGGGTGTCTAAGCTATCACTGTGGGCCACATTTTGTTGCTGCAGAGCAACAGCTGGCGGGCCATTCAAAATACTGCTGCAGGCTGGATCCAGCCTGGGGGCTGTAGTTTGCCCACCCCTGCCTTAGGAGCTACTCATGTCTTTGCCTAGTCCCACAGCAGCCATTTTTAAGGGGTACATGCCCTGATACATATCCTGCTTGGTAGGTACACCATAAAAACAATTGGGTTGCCACTCAGAGACAGAACCTGCCACCACCCATGTTTGATCTGACTCCTACATATTTGACTCAAGCCCTAAGCAATTAGCCACCAAACCCAGTGTGGGACCACCATTTTCTCTTTAACATTTGTCCTGACTTTATGTCACTGATTAATGATGTCATGTCAGGTTAAACCAAAGAAATTATATGAACCAGGCAAATCAAATAAAAGTTGTTTGTAGAGTGTAGGCTAACACCACTTTTACATCTATGGGGTTTGAGAAAAAAAATAATAACCAACAACATTTTTAAGTGTCTCAGGACTGCTTCAGTCAAATCTCACCATATATGGTGAGGGCACAGCATATATTCTCTTTTTTCAAGATAATATCCATTTGTTTAAAAAAAAAAAAAGAAGTTGTGACTAAGATTCTACTGCAAGTCTGAAACTTTTAATAGACAACTCCACCAATGAAGATGTGTCAGGACTGCTTTGGGAATTTGCAATCAGGGCTGCATCTTTGGAATGTTGGAACACTTGCAAAAACTGGTTTGATTCTTTGCATGGTCAAAGTTTCATTTTTGTTTTCAGTATGATTTGATAATTTGTTTCATGTAAGTGTTTTGCTTTCAAGTAGGTTTTCCCTACTTTACAAGTATATCTACATATTTCTGAATTAATATTATTGTGTTGAATAATTATCTAATTATCACATTTAAATCACTAGTCTTTGTCAAGAAAAGGATTGGGCAGTGAGAACAATAGTGAGTCCCCAAGCAAGAACTGGGACTTGAGAATGGACACCTGGCTTGGGTAGGCCATGAGCAGCAAGATCTAGGTAAAAGACCTTGTCTCAAGTCAAGAAGATAGATCATGCTCACACACCTGTTTCCCAACCCACTGAACCACTGGCATTTGGGAAATTCTGCTAGAACCAGTGTACAAGGAGTCTGTTCATGATATTGAGAACCTGAAAATCAGAATCAGGGCAACAGGCTAACTGGCAAGCTATTTTAAAAGACACAATAACAGGAACAACGCAACAGCAGCCCTGAGCTGTTGCTGAAGCTCTTGGAGAATATATCAAGTATTGTCATTTATTTGAAAGTCTGTAATGTCCTGCACTGTCTGTTTTCACTTAGAAAAAAAATCATTCCACATTTCAAGTATTGTGTAGCCATTTTTTGAGTAAAGTAGCATTTGTCCTCTTTAAATTTCAGGCTTGTTACCAAGTACTAGTCATAACTTTGATTTTAATTACTGGTTGTTGGTAAACTTTTGAGTTTAAAAATGTACACGGATTGAAAACTTTTGTGAGATTTGAGAAATGGCAACCCAAAGTTATTAGTCTCCTCTTTTGCCATACCCTCTATGGAATAACCATGACTGTTCTCCCCTGTCATACAGCAGCCATGCTTTCCAGGGCTTCACATTCTATTTGATCTTCCTCTTCATCTATGCACCCACCCTCTACCCCACTCCCAAAGGAAAAAAAAAGAGAAACGGGTTTGGTAAATGACCTTTAGACATATATCAAGTTCTTCCTAGTTTAGCTCAAATCGTATAAAGAGTCTTTCTCACCTGCCTCTTTATATTTGAGTCTGTGTGCATTCTGGGACCATAGTCTTCCTTCTTAAGGCTGCATTTACATCTTGTCAATGGGTTATAACATTTTGCAAGGCCAAACTATGGAGTGCCTTGGTATATGGAAATAACTCGACCAACCATCTCAAAGGGACAGTCACTTGTGTAGAGGGTACTTGGGCTGTTAGTAGGATGTAGGCTAGCACCACCCATATTGGCAGATATGTCAACAATAATGGACAGGTTTTATTTTCCCTTACTTTTAAATGATGATGTGAAACTTTTTTATTTCTTTCTCTTCAGATGGGGTCCAGCTGTCCATTCTCCCCCAATGAATTCTCATCTGTGTTTTGTCAACCTTTTTCCATCTACAAGAGTGGTTCAAAAAGCCTTTGAATAAGATGCCAAACCCTGGGGGCTTGGCATCAATTATCCAGCAGGCATTCTTTCATTGAAGATGAGAGAGCTTCATGAAAGCTTTCAAGAGTTGTCACCTCTATGGGCTGTTCTCAGAAACCTCATTATTGAGATGGACTTACTTTACAAAAAAAAGGTAAACTTCATCAAATTTGTTGCATTCTGAGATCTTACTCAATTCTCATCAGACTTCAAAAGGGTAAGTCCATCTCACAAAATTAAAGATATCTTTTAGTAAGGCTTTACCCTTGCTAAAAGCTGAACTAGTTTAAATTTGTACATTTACTTGTCTGGTCACACATTGAGAGAATTTTGGGTTTGTTGGTTGTGGATTGTAGAAATTGACTAAAGCAGTCCTTGAAACAGTTGAGAAATGTCTGGAATTCTCCTAGCTGTTCAATCATGGCACTGCTAGATCAATTGCTTGCTCCAGATCTGTCACACTTACTCACAATTGACAGTCACTTACTCATAACACTGGTTTAATTTTGATTGAATATGCCCTTGCTCCTGTCCACTTGACAGGCTGTGGTGTCTTTTTTGTCCATTTCTATCAGTATCCACTTCTCCAACTTTACTGCTTTTTTCATCCATTTCTACAGGGTGGCCCATAAGTCGCTTTACCATTTAAAAATTTAATAAATTTTTTGCCATTAATTTTTTAAATTTTTGTTTCAGATTTTGAAAATTTGTTCCCTGGAAATTTATTATGGAAAAATTCACGACGGAGCAACGCATAAAAATCATTGAATTTTATTTAGAAAATCAGGGCTCCATTGTTCTAACACAGAGAGCATACATGCGCTATTTCCATGTTAGGAATCCGCCCACGAAACCAGCAATACATCACTTGGTTCAACGTTTCCAGCAACAGGGGTCTGTTAGTG